CCAGATCCTGGTCAGTCAGTTTGTTCGTTCCAGTCGCGACTCGGTGCGAGCGGGATCCGTCCCGGATCGGGTCGGGTCGTGACACCTTTTTGTGTACAAGAAAAGTTTTATTATCTTCTTTCTCCTTCTCTCCCATATTCCTTCTCACTTTAGAGGCACTCCACTATCGTTGTTAGGCGATATCCCCTATCAAATTTTAGAACCCCTCTTTTGTGTAGAAGTTCAAATGAGTGATCATTCCTCCCTTAAAATCTCCATGAATAAAGGAGATCAACGATCGGCCATTAAAAATGACTGCCTATTTTACTAGGTTTCTTTTCTTACATGTCACTTTTTGATTTAGCTTGAAAATACGTAGAGGCTCATGAGAGTACACTTAAACAGTTTTTTCACTCAAATTAAATAAAATCTTTAATCTCACATAGAAATTTAATAATTTTAAGAAGTAAGCCTGGGAATAATCCATGAGTTTGCATGCATTCATTTTGAATCTTCATTACCTTATTAGGCACATCCCCGATTGCGGGTTTTAGAAGATCATTTGGCCTATTAGAGTGCAGTTATGTCAAGAGGATATTGTGTAATGTCTAGGATAAAATCTATTTTTAAACCTTTTTAAAAATTGCTTCATACCATTTATGCATTGAAATGTCAATTAGTATGCATTGCATTAGAAACAAATTAAAGAGCATGCTTAAAAAAATTTCTACTCAAATTAAAAAAAAATTTAGGCTCACATAAAAATCTAACGATTTGAAGAAGTAAGCATGGGAATAACCTGGGAGTTTGCATGCATTCATTTTGAATCTTCTCTACCTTATTAGGCACCTATTTATGTTGAAAAGTTATTGAGCTTGAAAAGTTAATTTTCTTTGAAAAAAATTTTGAAATTGACTTTTGAATTTTTTTTTTTTTACGAAACTGAGTTTTTTTTAGCTCTGCTAGGGTTTGGTTTCCCGTGGCGGCTCTCCTCCTCTCCGTGGCTCTCCTGGCCTTTGGCCGGGATGGCTCTAGCGCATGACTTTCCTCCTCTTCAAGGCGTCTCCCTCCTCGGGACTCTTTCCCTTCCTTCCACTTATGCGGCTAATCTAGCTGCGCCTTCTAGGGCTCGTGATGAGTGGCCGATGTCATACTCCAAGCCGGAGAAAAAACCATCCTTTGCTTTGAAAGACCTCTTTGAAGGCAAATCCCTTTGGAACCTCTCTCTTGTGGGATACTCTCTTGGTCCAAGGTTTTACTACGAGAGACTCCGTTTGGCCATGGAGAAGGCGTGGAAACTCAAAGGAGACCTCTCTCTTCTCTCTTTGGCTGATGATTTCTTCCTCCTTAAGTTCATAGCGGTAGAGGACTACGATATGGTTTCTGCGGGTGGCCCTTGGTTTCTACTCGGTAAGCCTTTTATCTTACAACGGTGGGATCCTAAATTTCAACCCAAAAGAGATGAGTCTGCGGCCATTCCCCTGTGGATCAAAATTCTCAACCTTCCTCTTGCCCTCTGGACCCCTTCAGGTATTTCTAAAATTGCGAGTTATATTGGTATTCCCCTATATGTTGATGCTCTCACTGCGAAAAGGACGAGGCTCACCTTTGCGAGAGTTTGTGTGGAGGTGGATAAAAACTCGATTTTAGCTGATGAGATCCCTCTTGAAATTGATGGAATTGATATGAACTTGAAGGTTGTTTATGACTGGAAGCCGACTAGGTGTGAAGGCTGTGGATCCCTTATTCACTCTTTTGCCTTATGCCCAAAAAACCCAGCTCTTAAAATTTTGATTCCACAGAAGCCGCCTCCTAGAGGAAGAAGTAAAAGCAGAGCGCCCGCCTCTCGTGCTGTTAGCGCAGCCAGGGAGAAAGCTCCTTTGATTCCTCCTCTACCTGATAGACCTCCTCAAATACCAAGCTCAGAGCCGTCTAACTCTAAGCTTCCTGCTGATATGACTACGGGTAAGAGCATTATCTTACCCAACCTCAATCTTCCCCAAGCCGACTCTTTTTCAGCTAATCATTCTCTCCCTAATACTCTCTTAAGGCCTCCCCAAGTCCTTTTAGCCAATAGTTTTCAAGCTCTTCCGTTAGACAATGCTGTCTCCCCGGAAGATGACCCCACTGAAGATGAACTAGTTGAAGAGGAAACCTCCTCCTCTTCGAAAACTGTGGTGGAGACTATTCTGAAGCCTCCGAATCATAAAGCCTCTTCCTCTTCATCTAAAGCTACTTCTTCCCCCAAAAAAGCCAAAATCAAATCGGCCAAGAAGGCCAAATCCCACAAATAATCCATGTCCCTTCCTCCTATTGGTGCTTGGAATGTGAGAGGGTTTAACAACCCGGTCAAAGTTAAGATGTGCAAAGACCTTATCTCTATGTTTAATCTGAAGTTGATTTTTATTTTAGAAGCTAAAATCCAATCTGATGCTCTTCAAGACGATTGGTTTAATTATTCTCATTCGCTGTTTGACAATGAGAGCTGTTGTCATAATTTCAGTTTTTCTTCCCCTGGCCGCATCTGGGTAAAATGGGATTCCTCTTCTCTTCTCTTCAATCCCATTTTTACCTCTTCTCAGGTTATTCATGGTTCTATTAATTTGGGCTGCTTGCCCCTTTTTCACGTTACGGTTATTTATGCGTCTAATTCTGCTGAGGAAAGGAAGGAGTTGTGGGACTCTCTTTTGAATATTGCTGTTAACATGGATTTTCCCTGGGTCTTAATGGGAGATTTTAATTGTCATAGATTTGATTTGGAGAAGGCTGGAGGGGTTCCTTCTTCTATTTATAGGCTCGGTGAGTTAAATTCCTTTATGTTTGATTCTGGTTTACAAGACCTCAAATCTGTAGGATTGCTTTACACTTGGTTTAATCAGAGGCCCGACAATCCTATTCACATCAAACTGGATCGTATGCTGATTAACTCTTCCTTTTTGGATCTTTTTCCTTTGGCTTATTACAAAGTGGATTCCCACTCTGGCTTTGATCATGCTCCTAGCATTCTTTTTGCTAATACTCAAAAAAAGGGGTTTTCCAGATTCATGTTTAAGGAATTCTGGCTCAGCTTTGATAACTTATGGGATGAACTTCTCACTGCTTTTGACAGGCCTCTAGCTGCTTCCCCGATTGCTTCTCTATATGATAGTCTTGTTTCTCTGAAGTGTGCCATTAAAAGAAATAATTGGTGTTCCTCCAATTATCTTTCTAACAACATTCTGGAACTTAAGAATCAACAAGCTCTTTGCTTAGAGCAAATTCAAAGGGATCCTCTCAGCTTGGAACTGAATTTCAGACTTAAGAACACTAATGAGCAAATGGCTTCTGCCCAAGTTGCTTGGTCTTCATGGATCTCTCAAGGAGTTAAGGCGTATTGGTTGTCACAAGGAGAGGATGATCTTGGCTTTCTATTTGCCAAGATCAGAGCTAGAACCAATAGGAACATGATTAAAGAGCTTGCCACTTCATCTGGTCTCCTTACCTCTCATTCTGAGATTTCTAAGGCTCTTGTGGATCATTTTCATTCTCTTTTGAATGCCCCGGCTCCACCTTTTGAGAACTCTTACAACATTCATGCGGGTAACACTGTTCCTCCCCAAGCTTTAGCTGCATTGACTGCACCTATTACTAATGAAGAAATCAAGAAGGTGGTTTTTGGGGGGTGGCTTCCTCTTCTCCGGGCCCAGATGGCTATTCTTTTGCTTTTTATCAGAAAACCTGGTTGATTTCTGGGTTTAGGCTTTGCTCGGCTGTTAAGCATTTTTTCTCCACTTGGCTTATGCCTAGAGGGGCCAAATCTACTGTCATCACTCTTATTCCTAAGGGTACTCACTCTAACTCTATCTCTGATTATCATCCTATCTCCTTGTGTAATATTTTTTACAAGATTGTTGCCAAGGTTATTGCTAATAAGATGAAGCTCATCTTACCCTTAATTATTAACAAAAGCCAGTCTGGCTTTGTTGCTAAGAGAAGCTCTACAGATTACATCATCCTTGCTTCCGAGATTCTTAGGGATTTCAAATGTAGCAAGGGTTCCTTCTGTACTAAATTAGATGTGAAAAAAGCTTTTGACTCTGTTTCTTGCTCATTCTTGCTTCATAGACTTCTTCAGAAAGGCTTTTCGGTTACCTTTGTTAAATGGATTAAAGGGTGCATCACTGATGTTCATTTCTCTGTCTCTGTTAATGGGGTGTTAGAAGGCTTCTTTAACTCTTTTTCTGGTTTGAGGCAGGGGTGTCCCTTATCTCCTCTTTTATTTTGTATTGCCATGGATGCCCTCTCCTCTTCTTTGGAGAATAATCAGGTTTCTCAATTCCAGGGTATTTACAATCATAGTTGTAATTTAAGCCACCTGATGTATGCTGATGATCTTTTGGTATTTGGGAAGGCCTCTAGGGATAATTCTCTTGCTCTTAATGACATTTTGCACTATTTCTCTAAGGTCTCTGGCCTTTTTATTAATCCAAGTAAGAGCACTATGATTTTCTCTAAGAATGTTAATGCCACTCTTGTTTCTATTTTGTCTGGATGTCTTGGCATTTCGAATGTGGTTGAGGTCATCACTTATCTGGGCTTACCTATTTCGGCTGGCAGACTTAAGCTCTCTCATTTTCAACCTCTGCTTGATAAAATTGCTGGACTTCTTGATGGATGGAAGGTCAAATTCCTATCTTTTGCGGGTAGAGTTCAGTTTTTAAAGTTTACAATTTGCAATACAATTGCTTACTAGATCCGTGGAAGTATTATACCTAAAGCTTGTTGCAAATGTATTAGTAAAATGTGTGCCAAATTTCTGTTTTTTGGCAACATCAAAGAGAAAAAATTACATCTTATTTCTTGGAATACTGTTGCGGCTCCTAAGTGCAAAGGAGGTCTTGGTTTACCCAGTTTTAATTCTCTTTATCATAACTTGGCCTGCTCGTTCCTTTTTAGGATGTATAACACGGATAGTACTATGGGTTTTTGATTTAGGGAGATATTCTGTTCCCCTTGGAAACCTTACCCCCCCTGTCACGACCCGACCCGATCCGGGACGGACCCCGCT